TGCAGATTTGACTTGAGAACTTTTTGACTTGAGAACCGCCTTCCAATACGGATTAAGTTCTCAAGTCAAGACCCCACTGTATACAGGTGTGAAAGCTTGACAGCACAGAAAGCTGACAGGCGATAAATAATGTGATTGAAATGTGGTGGTGGAGGAGAGCTTTGTGGGTACCCTAGACTGCCGCAAAGAGTAACAAGTGGGCCATAGATCAAATCAAACCTGAAATATCTCTGGAGATAAAAATTATGATATTGAGGCTTTCCTACTTTGGGCAGATGATGAGAAGGTAGGATTTTCTGGAATAAAACAATAAGGCTGGGAAAGGTGGAAAGCAGCAGGAGAAGAGGAAGACCAAATATGAGATGGACTGACTCCCTAAAGGAAGCCACAGACTCGAGTTTACAAGAGCTGAGCAGGGCAGTTGAAGACGGGACATTTTAGAGACTACTCATTCATTGATGGCACATAAGAACAACAGCAGGGTTCCAATGTTTTAGTTTTTCTCTTCTAGTCTGTCAAAGGCCAGTGTTTGATTGGACTCATAAATTGGGACTAAACAATCAAGGTCATATATTATTTTTATTGCATTTGTAAACTTAGATGAACTGGTGAATATCTTACGTTATTAATGTTATTCATGTATTAATAAAAATATTAATGAAATGTATCTCACGGTCTGATAATAAATCTGCAGCCGCCATCAAAGTGCTGGTGCTGAGGGCAGTTCAATGTCACCAGAGTTTTAAGCATCATTGTCAGTGTTACATACAGTGTTACATACAGTGTAACATACTGTTACATACAGTCAGGGAGTCATGATACCATCAAAAAGCAGATGCTTCACTACCCATATATAGGACCAGGACGTAGTATAAGTGAAATGCTCGAGTAAGGTCTTCTGATTTTTTTTTCTGAGTAGTCAAGCTTAGAGTGTAGTACAGTGGTGCCTCGCTTTACGATTGCCCCGCATTACGACGAAACCTCATTACAACGATCTAATGCGGGGCAATTGTGATCGCAAAACAATGGTCTGAATGGGGTTTTTTCACTTTGCAGTGATCGGTTCCCTGCTTTGGGAACCGATTCTTTGCAAAACGACGGTTTTAGAACAGCTGGTCGGCGGTTTCAAAATGGCCGTGGGGTAAATAAAAGGGCTCCCCGCTGTTTTCTGGGACAGATTCCTTGCAAGACAGCCACCGAAAATGGCAGCCCTATGGAGGATCTTTGCTGGACGGTGAGTTTCCAGCCAATTGGAACTCATTAAACGGGTTTTAATGTGTTTCAAGGGGCTTTTTCTTTTCGCATTACGACGTTTTCGTTTTACAGCGATTTCACTGGAACAAATTAACATCGTAATGCGAGGCACCACTGTATACCAGCCATTACTTTGCTTTAGAAGCCAATTTTCTTGCACATCTGTTTTCCTAAAAATATTCAAGCCCCACCTACCCAAAGCAATTAGAAGTCTACCATTTGAAAAGAGGCTACAGGATTCCAATTTTTGGATGCAGATTTCATCAGATGAAAAGATTATGTCCTTTCTTTCAGTTCCCAACTTTTCTGTGAAGGCTGTGTCAGAACATGCTAGGTCCATGTCCTGGGACAAAATCTAAGCTAATGCAAATGAAACAACCATGAATTTCCCCCATATTTGCTCTATTTGTGTTTCTTTTCTCCTCCCATGTGGTCAACATATAGATTGTGAGCTCTTTGGGGTAGGGATAACTGATCTTGTACATGGATGTTGCTATATAAATAAATAATAACAATATTTCTCTTTGTGTGGTTTTTTCTTCTTCAAAAGAACCAACCAGTTGGGAACATTCACGAAGAAAGAATTTGATCTCCTCGCTCCAGTAGTGGACAGCTTCAGCCTGATGACATATGATTATTCGGCTCCACAACGGTAAGGCAATAAAAACAGAAAAGTGTATCATAGCTGAACTAGGCATGCTGAACCACAGGTGTACATCTGGAGCTCGTATCAATTCCAATTATTACCCCATGAAAGCAGTGGGATGATTGTGGGTTATAGCTGAAAATGTGTGGGCCTTCATTTTAAATGTTTGTTTCTAGGACAGTGCAGCCCTTCCTAGGTTGCAGCCCAAATCTTAACATTTTTGCTTGGAACTAAATCCCAACAAGCTCACTATGGTGTGCCTGAGACTTGTCTTGTTTAAATCACACTTCTGCCAATTCATTTTGAAGAGAATTGGCCTTTATTACCACTGTGGAACGTAAGATACTTGACTAATACCAGGGTCGTAAATATTAGCTTGTTTAACAGTTGAATGTTTCCTTGTGCTGCCATGTTTTCATTAATTGTTTCTTTTTTATATTTCAGTGTGCTAAATAGGTTTTATGGTAATTGGTGTTTTTTTTTTTAAATTAGTGACTTGAGCAATCCTTGAAGATTGAACAGTGGAAAGGCAGAATAAAAATAATTATAAATAGGCACTGATTCAGTTGAGCAGTATGTATTAAGAAGCATGTTGAAACAGTCAGAATACTGACTTGAATGCACAGTAAATATACTGGCTAAACCCCTACAGGTTTTTACATATGTTTTGCGTAATGTATTGTGGCTAATTGCAGCTAATTGATAGAGTGCCAGGCTGCATCTTGGTTGCACAGTCAGGTGGGACTGGACATGCAAAGCTGAGGCATACCATGGCATCTCTCCAGTTAGCTGCAATTAGCTACATCAATTTGTGTAAACATTAATGAAGACCAATGATTTCCTGGCAAGTGATTGCTGTTCTTGTTGTCTTTCATATATTGATGTTTTTGCCCATTTTCACATGGGCAGGCAGATCTCTAAACCCCCTATCTCATGTGATGCCTAGACTGGACAGCTAAGAATGTAATCCCACATTTACTTTACTCTCTCTTTACGTTAAGTTGGTTCTGACAGAAGTAGACAAAACATTTTCTTTCTGCTTTATCAAATGTTGTCTTAAGTGTTCATATGTTGTTATATCTGTCAGTTTGAAGTGTGTACACCAGATAAGAGAAATCATGCAATAGCTTGTCAAAGCAAAGTACAAACAGAATTCCTCATTACATAGAATGTGTTCTCTTCTTCTTTAGGGCTTTTAACATTTCAGATGCCTTTAGCCAGCAATGGGCAGAGTGAAACAGAGACAGGAAAAATGTCAGAAAAGAAGCAAACTGTCCAGGATTGAGCAAAAGCCTTTTATAAAAATAATTTTATTTTAAATAACTGAAGGCTGTATGCTTGAAAAATTCAGTACAAAATTGCACAGTTAAATGCCACTGAAAAAAGCTATAGACGTGATGAGTGCCATACTACTGTGCATCCATATGTGTGTATAGATAAACCATTTCTTTTCTCTTTCTGCAGGCCAGGTCCTAATTCTCCTCTACCTTGGATGCAAGCATGTGTTCAGATGCTGGACCCAGAATCCAAATGGAGAAGCAAACTCCTCCTGGGCCTGAATTTCTATGGCATGGACTACTCAGCACTCAGTGCTTCAGGGGAACCAATCATTGGTAACAGGCAAGGTTTCTAGAGAGTTGCATAAAAAATCATTATTTTTACTGTCTTGACTTCATACATCAACATACTTGCTTAATACTAAAGGATTAGATGGAGCTGTCATTTCACATCTCATGTTTGGGTGGGGATAGAGCAGTCAACCTTTCCCTCTGACTCCTCTCTTCCTGCTTCTCCACTTGCTTCAGCCATTTTTCTATTTTGCCTTGCTCTGAAGCCAACAGGTAGCCAGGACTGGAGAAAAATGGCTGAAACCGTGGACAGTGTGGGGCAATGGGAAGTAAGATGCGGAAGGCAGAGGGTTAATTACCTCCCTCCAATGCTTTCTCTTTTTACTCTTACGTTTAACTTCATTTGTGATCAAACTAAGGAAAGAGAAAGAAACCACTTTTTGTCATAACCGATTTGGCCCTTTCTCTCTCAAAGTTACAGATTCTGCTGCTTAGTTTTGAGTCATTGTAACAACCGGTCCCTTTCACCACACCTGACGCTGGCCTCTTGAGCCACCTTGTCCTCTTTAGTCCATAGGTCCCTAGGTTTCAGCATCCTTTGCCACCTCTTTCAAGCCCTCCTGTTTATCTTATTTCATCCACAGAAACTGGGTGAGGTTCTTTCTACCCTTGGTTTCTCCCCTTTAACCCGGTGCCTGCTGTGCCCATTCCCCCCATAAAGTTACAGATTCTGCTGCTTAGTTTTGAGTCGTTGTGACAACTGGTCGTCCTTTTCACCACACCTGATGCTGGTCTCTTGAGCCACCTTGTCCTCTTTAGTCCATAGGTCCCTAGGTTTCAGCATCCTTTGCCACCTCTTTCAAGCCCTCCTGTTTATCCTATTTCATCCACAGAAACTGGGTGAGGTTCTTTCTACCCTTGGTTTCTCCCCTTTAACCCGGTGCCTGCTGTGCCCATTCCCCCCATCTATTTTATTTCTCTCTTTCAGTGAGTTCACCCCTTTCCCATACCACTCCTACCCTGTTCAGTTTTTCTTTCGGCATTCTTGCCTTGGCTACTCCTGTGTGTTGACATTTTTCCTCGCCAGACTCACTCTTCAGTGCACCAGTGTTTTTTGTTTCTTCTACGCACATAAAGATCATTCAGGAACAAATTGCATTAAGTTTGGAAAGACCTGACACCACTGCAGCAGAATTTTTCCTCGCCAGACTCACTCTTCAGTGCACCAGTGTTTTTTGTTTCTTCTACGCACATAAAGATCATTCAGGAACAAATTGCATTAAGTTTGGAAAGACCTGACACCACTGCAGCAGATAAATAACCTTGTCTTTTGTAATGATGTGATCAAAATGCTGGGATGCTTCACCACAGGGGCATCTTAATGTGTGCAACCAGCACAAAGTCTTGTGGTATGCTATCTCCTCAGACATGACCTCCATCCATCTGGGACTCCTAGAGCTACTTGAACTTCATTTTATTAGCAAAGACAAAGAAACTGCCAGTTGCCTCTCAACCTGTCAAAGCAAAGCAAAGTGTGCTGCTTATATACCAACCATAGCGCTTCAAGCACTCTCTACGTGGTTTACAAGTTAATTATGCAGGGTACACATTGCCCCCCCCCAAAAAAACCAGCACAAAGTCTTGTGGTATGCTATCTCCTCAGACATGACCTCCATCCATCTGGGACTCCTAGAGCTACTTGAACTTCATTTTATTAGCATTGGGGGGACAGGGGACAAAGAAACTGCCAGTTGCCTCCCAACCTGTCAAAGCAAAGCAAAATGTGGTGCTTATATACCACCCCATAGTGCTTCAAGCACTCTCTAGGTGGTTTACAAGTTAATTATGCAGGGTACACATTGCCCCCCCCCAAAAAAAATGAGCTGGGTACTTATTTTACCAACCTCAGAAGGATAGAAGGCTGAGTCAACCTTGAGCCAGCTACCTGGGATTGAACCCCAGGTCGTGAGCACAGTGTTAGCTGCAGTACAGCAGTTTAACCACTGCACTGCAAAGCTTCCTCAGGGGGCTGAGTTTCCTTCATTGGCCTCTCGGGCATCTTAGCCCATGCCCAACCTTAAGTTGCAATCACTGGGGTCAAGGAATCAACCATCTGGTGGTGGCACTGGGGCTTTAACACAGTCTGATGCTACTCAACATCCCATAAACATGTCTTGTACTGACAGCTGCAATATGCATGTGTCCCTGGTCCCTCCTGAAGATATTATTGCCACTTCTTTTGTCTCTCCTCCCTTGAGTGCCTGTTCTGGGTTCACATTGTGGGACAGATGCTCTGCCAGATGCCAAGACTCCTAGTCACGAGTGAGGCAAGGAGGTAACCCCGAGGTCTTCACAATGGAAGCTACCCTTCCACACTTTCTTTCTTTAGACAGTGGGACTTCCACCAGCACCCAGGCCAGCAGTCTCTACATATGTATAGTCCATGACCCCGGTGCACAAAAGATTGAATCCAGTTCCTTGGCCAACTTTCCTCACATGACCTTTTCTTCCATCTCAGTGCTCCTAGTTGACTCTGTCTCTGTCCAACCTTCTGCCTCCTCTGTCTTCCCCTCCTTTATCCATGTCAGTGCTCTGCTGCCTGTGTCCTTCCACCTTCTTCCTCATCTGGGTCCCATCATCTGTTTCCATCTCCTCCTTTCTGCCTAGGGCCTGCTGCCTCTATCTGTGCCTGCCTGAGGCACAGGGGTTCCATCTTACAACAGAGCCTCTTGTGGGTGTGGGATGAGGGCAGATGACCGACCAAGGATGATCCACCAAGTGACCCCCTCATCTCTTCATAGAATACAATCCACTATCCACGAGAGCTTCCACTGAAATAAACCTATTATAGTACTCTTAAATGAGTATGAAGACTTTGTTGTTGCTTTGTTATATGATTCTATGATCCTTGTTTGACAGAATGTTTTGTAGGTTTGACAAAAGTCATCCAGTGAACTGTTTAACTTAAAGGATAAGTAGAAGACAGTATAAGTGTTTTCCTTTAGTAGCTAAGAGGAAAGCAAGCCAAAAACACTGTAGGTGAACTTCAGTACAGTTGCAAATATACTATATTTGTGGGGTTTTTTGGCTGGTGAGAGCATTTGAAATACATTCAAGACTTACCACAAGATCAGACTATATACCCTTCAGTATTTTAAAATCATCCTAAGAGGGTCTTCTAAGATGATGTACACACTGAAAAATGTTTGCTATTTGTTGGAAAATCTAAAGGACTTGGCATTGAATTCTTCTGTTCAAAGACAAAAGAGGATTCCTTGCAAACTGTGTTAAGGGCGTAAAATTCCACCGAGAACTATGTTGGCTGCCTGCCATGCTATAAATAATTAGTAATAAAATGTGATACTTGGAACAGCTAGAAGTGAGAGCTTCCCTGAAAATTATGGCATATTAGAAGGATGGTTGCTGTCTCATCTTTGGAAGATGCCTCTTTGGGAGGCCTATGGGATATACCTATAGAATGATTAGGCGTGGCTTATTTCAGCAGTATATCTTTGGGAAGGAAGTCACAAGTCTTGAAGTGCAACTGGGACAGGTGCAAATTATCTCTCAAAATGATGTAATGTATTAAGAAGTGTAAGAACAATATCATGGAATGCTTTCATTTAAGAGTAAGGTGGCACTTTGGTGCTCTGTCCTGTGCTTTGACTGAACTCAGTGGAACTTTGATCAGACATGTTGAGGATTGGGCTCTTCAAGGAGGCTTCACTAGGACAGCTAGCTAGGCAGAGTGTTGCTCGTCCACCTTTACATTCATTTCTTGGTTTCAGCCTTATGCGGTGAGGTACGTGGCGTGCCTCGCTACTGCTGTGGGTGAGATTTTGGCTAGCTACAGCTGATCCAGTAGCAGCAACTGGCAGACTTCAGCAGCCCCATTGACAATTCTGGCAGACAGTAAGAAGGCACAGAATATTGCTGTACTGTAGTACAGCAGATGGCATAGATGAGGGCAGTGGATGCAGTAGGCAAGGACTGTTTGTGGCAGCACTGTAGAGTAGCGAATCATAGGGGAAAAAATCTCATTTTGACAATGATCTGAAATCTCAACAATATCATCCTAAAGACATTAACTTTTCTCAGATGGGCTGGCACAAAATGCTACACTGTCAGAGGCAGGAGGATCTGCCTCTTCCTTCCCCATTGCTGCTACCCGCCATTGCTGTGAGGCATTTGTTTTGTAATGTGGCAACACTGTGGGTGATCTTAACCATTCCTGTTCTCCCTTTGGGGAGTCCTTGGGCACAGCAATGTATTGTGTGTGAGGTGGACATGTCAGCTGTCTCTCCCACTGCTGCTCTTTTGTGTTGGCAGCAAATAATTGTTTAAAGTTCCATTGCAAAGGGGTGCCTTTCTCAGAAACTTTGTGGGTTTCATCAAGCCCTGCTAGCTGTTTTCCTTCTCTCATGTTCCATTGGTGGAATGGCAGTAGATGTTCACACCACTGCTACTGAAGGGAAAATATGGTTGGGAGGATGATCGTTAGCTCTCTGTATGATAAGGGCAGAGGAGCATGTACAATTTGCCACCTCTCCAGATCTATCATCTGAGTCACGTGATTCATGAGATAATATTTCTCTGCTTGGCTTTCAGCCATGTGTGTATATGTGGGGTTGGATGTCTGGATTGCACTTTTTAAATTTTCACCATTACTCTTAAGAGCTGTGGTGGGTTTTGAATTCATGTATTGCCAGGGTCTGGGAAGCAAGATGTATACAGAACTAGAACCTGCCTAATGACTACCATATTTTTCTGTTTATAACATGCCCCTATTTATAAGACACGCCCCCCCCAATTTTCTAACCCAAAAATTAAGAAAACTTAGTTTGAGGATTCAGCCTCCAAGCTCAGAATATCGGACATTTTGTCTATGTTGAATCTTGAGCCCACAGGCTCCGCCTCTAAGGAGGTGTGTTCCAATTGGTTTGTTCAGAATCAGCTGACATCAGTTCCATAAGGCTCGTGACTGGAGGAAACTAAGCCTCGTGGCTGAAGCAAGACTGTTTAGAAGAGAGGCAAGGTTCAGTGCTGTTTTGT